TTCTGCTGCTGATGTTGCAATTTTCCTCCGTCCACTTCCTTGACATCTGTCGGGCTACGCTACCAGTATCACGGTAAAGAGCGATGGTACGAGGCACAAAAGATTTATTCACATTTAAATGCTGCAGTGCTCTAACGATAGCCACTTATGGTTTTCCAGCCAAATATAAAGAAATCACACTATCACCCTTGAATTTCATCACGAATAAGTTTTTCTCTGGAAAATTCTCGCCAAAATGCTTTTGTACACTTGTAAACGATATAATGAGCTGTCACTGGAATATTTTTAACAGCTGTCGGACGAGTGGCTTAGAAATGACAGAAGTCTGAAGTTGGTTGCAGGTTTTTCATCTCACCCTGCAAACGAAATGTTCAAACGTATGCACTTCAAACATTTGTGTTTATATAAAAAAAAAATTAATTAGTGGAATTCTCCAAATTAATATACATTTTTCTGACAACGCACCAATTTAATTTTTTTATGTGGCATAATAACCAATTAAATTTAAAAAATCAATATCAATCTCTTAATCTCTTCTATTTTTAGCATTTCTTTCCAAGATAGGCTACATCATTATTTCTATTTTTAAACAGCTTTAAACCTCCCCCCTAAAAGTATGCCTCATTTACGTCTACTCATTACTGTGACGTTTGCCGTTCTTTTATTTTCTACTTCAACTTTGCTAAGTACAATGTCATAAAACTTTAAGACTTAAGGAATTATTCAAATCATCATAACTGCTCCTAAGAGCATACTTTGACATTTGAAATATTGTTTTGAAGTTAAAAATTTTACAAATCACATCATAAATACGCCTAAACACAGACTTTGATATTTAAATATTATTTTGGTACAAACTTTTGTTTTGTCATTTTTTTTTTTTTGCTTTTTCGTATTTTGTCTATTTAAGAAGCTGTGCCTGTGTTTTGACAATCTAAAAATAAATTTGCAAATAATTCATTTAAATTAATTTGCATACTTTAGAGAGCAATGGTTTGTTGTCTACGTAGACAAAAGAAATTATTTCATTTGCAACGGCATGGTAGCCAAGTGTTTGGGATAACTCGTGTTTTTTGGTATTTAATTACTTCTGAATAGACAATAATTAAAAGGTCTGCATAGCTGGGAGGTCATTTAGGGCACAAGGAGGCAGTGGAGGAATGCAGGGTGTCCAGACAAAAAGAGAGGTTAGATTAGACTCTTTGAAGTATGTTATGGGATCATTTAGAAAATGGCCAGCAAAAGGTATTTTAATACCCAAATATCTTCTACATATCTACCAGGGGTGGGATACCTTTAAAGTGCCGTTCATGGATACAATGCTGCCTATAGTTTTCCGTTCATAAATATCTGCTATATTTAAAAAAAAGAAATCAAATAAAATTTCTTCAACTTTCATCTAAGTAAAATACCCTTCCTGACAATTTTCCAAGCAATTACATAAAAAGCCAAAAATGTAAAGCATATTTTCAGGGTATAAATGTAATTAAAAATATAAAAATGTAAATAAATAACCTTCTCATCTCAAATCTAATCTATGTAGTTACCAACAACCTCCGTCTTAGAATTCGGGTTGAATTGTTGTCTACCTATCAAATTAGAAAATTTGACAAAATCTAAAGCATATTTTCAGGATTTGTTATAGAACGTAATATTTTAGATTCTCGTTTCTCCCCTAAAAAATATTTTTCCCGTCTTCACAATTGCCATTTAGCAATCCAAATTTGTAAATCCTAAATTTAAATAAATAAATTATAAAGCATACTTTCAGGAGTCATGTTGCAAAATATTTTCCAAAAAAAAATTCCTTTTAAACCATGCTATTCAACACCATTACAATATTTCCATTTAATTAGCTACTAGAAAATCAATATTTAAAGCATACTTTGGGGCTTGCTTATTTTGCATCATGAATGAAAAGCCTAAATGCAGGCAATAATTCACTATTATTATATTTATTTGTAAAAAAGTTGTTTCTTATCAATCTACAAATTATGGGGAAATAGTTTGAAGGAGAAAGAATTGCCTGCTCCATGTCTGAGAAACTTTATTTCGATTTCATTATTAACAAAACTTTTACTCGCTTGAATAAAAATAAACTTTTTTTGGGATATTGAGTAACAAACCAAACTTGATACAGAAATTCGAACAACAACAAAAAAAGAAGGGAAATTGAATAGCATACAGCCTACATAATTTACATAACATTATACTCTTAGCAGCCATTATTAGCAGCCTTAAATAGCCTAGCAAATTAAAATTCTTCGACTTTGATGGAATGTTAAAAATTTGCCCTTTGCTTTCGAAGAAATACTTTTTTTTTGTAAAAATGAAGGGGGAGAGATATTTAATTTATGTTCCTACCCCATCCCCACCTCGGCGCTGATTACAGATATCTCTATGGCAAATTTAAACACCTTTGGCTGGGTGATTTTATGTCTCCGGTATTCCGTTTTCATTGGTCTAAGTGTCCTAAATTTTATGATGGTAAATGTGTATATGCTATGTTATGATAATAGTACCTAAAACCCACAATTTAAATCATCTTAAGGAACGTTTGTTATTTTTTCTTCCTTGATAGAATAACAAATATCTACTAAGTATAATGGTTTACTCATGGCATGTATATTTTGGTGCTGCGCCTAAAATTATGCAAATGCTTGTTTTTTCTATTCAGTATATTTTATGACACGAATAAATAACATGACCACATAAAATGTAGACGTCTCTTGGCTTCTTATTTGCTTTCTTTTTTTGCCTGTAATAAAAATAAGCCGTTTTTATACAACATATCAAACAAAAACACTCTTTCTTCTTTGGAACTCTAGGAGAGAGTGCAGGGAGAGGGTGAAGGAGTGGGTGTTTGAAGCGGCCGTTAACCAGGAAATAGTATTGTTTGTTGCCTTTTAGCTGTGACCATAAAAAGTCGCATGAAGCAAGTCAAACTGTTTTTATGACGACTTTGGCTACAAAGTAGCAACATGATTTTATAGCATCTTTTTAGGGGCAATCAGTCATATGTGTTATTTGAGTTTGTAAATTGTGTGTGTGTAGCTGGAATATTTTGTACTCAGACAAATTTGTTTAAGTAGATAAAGTGGAATCTAGAGTTTTCGGGTGGAAAAAAAATTTTTTTATGAAGCTAATTTATAAGGAAATTATTTTAAATGTTTTTTCTTATAGCATACTTAAAGGGATGTGGATTTTTTTAAATTAAAAGTTAATAGAATAATAAATATAAAATCACAATTGATTGTAGATAGCATTTTTAAAATTGAAAAATAAGAGCATACCTTAAGGATGATCAGAAGCCAAAAGTTTATTTTTCAGTCTGATTTAAATCTCTTATAAAAATGACGTTAAATTTAATGCCATATTGTACTATTACAATAGTAATTGTTGTTTTTAGCAGCTTTTGTGGTTCTAAATAAAAAATATTATTAATTAAAAAATCAAAGCCTATTTGTAGGCTATTATAATTTCTTCTTGTTAATCACCTAATTTCATCTGCTCTATAAATAAATAATAGTTCGGTCTGGTCCTAAAAATTCGAATTTAAAATTATTATTAAAAATCAATTTACAAGACAAATAATTTATTTCTAGAGCATACTAAAATGAAGGGAAAGACTTCACATCATGATACTAAAAAAAAATTGTCCGGTCCTAATTAATTTTGAAACGAAATCTATAGCATATTTTAAGGGGATATTAATATTTTAATTTAAATTAAAAACAAGTAAAAAGCTGCTAAGTTCGACCGGGCCGAATTTTTAATACCATCCACCATTTGGAAGGCACATGAACATTTTCCAAAAACTTCCGGAAACTACCGCTTTACGAAGTCTCATATGAAGACTATACGAAGACGTGAACCTGCTAATGCAATTTTTTGTCATAGGCTGTTGTACCTATTACGAACTTCAAATACGAAATTTTAAATAATTCCGGTGAATAATGTCGCTAAAATCATGAAAATACCGTATATCGGGAGGTACCGTTATATGGGGGCTTTACGAAGAGGTGGACCTGCACAGACAATTTTCTGTTTAAGGCTGTAGTATCCATTACGAACTTCAAATACCAAATTTGAAACAATTTTGGTGAAAAAAATTCCATAAAATCATTAAAATGCCGAATATCGGGAGGTACCGTTATATGGGAGCTATACGAAGACGTAGACCTGCATAAGAAAATTTTTTCCATAAGTTTTAGTAGCTATTAAGATTTCCCAATACGAAATGTGAAACGATTTCGGTGAATAATGTTGCTGAAATCATCAAAATACCGAATATCGGGAGGTACCGTTAATTACAGAATTTTTTGTCATAGGCTGTAGTACCCATTACGAAAATTACATATGAAACTTATAATAATTCCGGTAAATAATGTCGCTAAAATCATGAAAGGTTTATGTTGCATACTTTTAGGCGCTCTTAAGAACTTTTCAACTTCAAAGAAATATGTACTTTATAAACTATATATCTGTGCAAAATATATATAATTTATAATATTAGGCGTTTTTTTTAAGAACTCCGAAAAGTATGAAATAAAAATGGTAAGGATATTATAGAAAAATGTTATTTAACGTATGTTTCTAAAATGATTTTTCAAACCCTAAATTGAGGATAAAGAGAAATTGTTTAATTAAGAAATCAAGGCATACCTTCAGGCTCTGCCAAATACACATTAAGGATCTAAAGATTTAAGATAGGATATCTTATTTTTATCATAAGGGAATATTAAAACATATTCAAATAATTTAAAAATCAAGGCCTATTTTTGGGCGCTTACATTTTCATAGATTTTATTTCCAAAGAAATTAATATCTCAGTCTGACACCCAAAATAACTTCCCATTCAAAATTTCTTATTAAATTAAAAAAAAAAATAAATTTATCTCTTGCAAATAGGCAGAAAATTTGTTCATTATTGTTGTTATTGCAGCAAATGTTAACGAGCAAAAATAATAATTTGTTATATCATTTTTTTCTCTTTCCAGATGACTGAATAAAAATCGATTTTGATTTTCGGCCAAGACAAACAGACAGCCAACCAAGCAACCACACACAGGGCAAATGACCATAAATTCTACATCGTCTGAGGAAACAAAAATGTAAAGATAAACATTGAAAGAATGAGAAAAAATCAAATGCTAAAAAGGAATCAGAGAAACAGCCAAAAAAAAAAAAAAACAAATTGCCTTGGAAAAAACCCAAGCGAAACACTTGTTTTGTTTGCACCCCCCCTAAAAGTATGCCTTGAAAATACACAAACCAAAACGAAAAACAAATACATATTTGTTTATTATGGCCACAAATCCTTGATTGTATTAACTTGGCCCATGGAAAAGAAAAGAGAAAACAAGAAACAACATAAGGAAACCCATAAAATCTCAAAAGAATATAAACGATATGGCTTCGTGGGCTTCAGGTTTTGTTAATAGCTGTAGTAAATATTACGAAAAAATAGCTCAATTATTTTGTCGGGCCACCCTTGTGGGCCACTGCTTAAAGCCCATGTACCTGTCCAAATAATCATGTTGGCCATAATAAAATAAGTGGTCTTATATATAGTAGTATTTGGAGTTTACAACCATTCGGCCAAGCAAAAACCGGTCCTCCCCAAAGTATACTATAGATATTTTTAACATAAGCCATAAACTTAACAAAAATTTCACATGCAAGCAAACAAACACTCCAGAATGAAACATTCTGCTCTCCCACTGCCCACCATACATACACATTGACCACTTTCGGACCCAGGCACATATTTGTATTAGTTAACATATCGTTAAGCAATAAACTTTGTTAAATAATGTTTGCCTACATTTAGGCGCACAATCATATGAATATACCCAATTTTGTAAATACCTTGAGGATATTTAGAGCGCGCATTCGTGTGCTGTGTGCGTGTGTGCGTTGGATGGTCTGGAATTCCTGACCCTACTAACTTCTCAATTTACAAAATTTGATTACGGATGAGTCACAAACACACACGCACGCACACATACATACACATGTGCTCAAAAAGTGCGTGCGTTTCTGGTATCAGCCAGAAATCGACTGCAATCTCCCGCGTTGTGATTTAATGGCTTTGATGTGAATTTGAGGTATTTTTGATTTCATCCAATCACTCCAATCTGAATGTTTGTCATGCCACCCCTCAAAGTGATTTGAAAATGATTCATGATTTAGTTTGGTAAATGAGGAATTATTGGTAAGGATGTGGGAAAGGGTTTAGAAATTTTTAATGTAGAAGTGTAGTGAATGAGGCCCTGGAATAGTAGTGAGGACCTGGAAGTAGGAAACAAAAGGCGAATATTAAGAAATAAATTCGAAATCATGGCTATTGCGTGAAAGCCAATCCGCTCAAATATTTTTGTGAATTTTATTGAGAGATACCGTCATATTTGAACATTTTTGAATTCATTTTTTTTTTTCAAAATTTTATTGAGAGATAGCGTCATTCTTTCAAAGTTTTTCAATTCAATTCAAATTTTTTGAGTCTTTGCTTTAAACACGAAAATTGACAATTTAGAAATGATCAAAGAAATGCTTTAATCTATAATGTTTTGTTTTAATGACTGAAGCGTATTTTCAGCATCTGGCTTAACATGTCCATATTTATATTTAGCTTTTCTTATAGTATACTTTTAAGCCCCTCCCAACGGGGTAGTGAATGACTGACGCCCAGACGAAACGGCTGAAGCTAGAATCTTGAAATTTTGCTCGAGGGCAAGTCTTGATGCGTGGGCGTGTGATAGGGCTGGGTTTTAGGAAATTCGTACTAAAAGGGTACGAAAAGTGCTAAAGTGTACTAAAAATGTAATATCACGCATTGGACAAATGGAATGAGCTAGAATTTTGAAATGAGAGTCACTGATGAATGAAATTCACTGATGGAGTGCAGGATAGTGGTACCCAAGGGTTTTCAAAAATTCGGACTTTTAGGTTACGAAAAGTTCTAAAGTGGTACAAAACTTTCGAAATGGTAACATTTGGAATTATGTGAGTGGATAGGGCTAAAAACTTGAAATTTGCTTTGGGAAGCAATGTTGTAAAATAAGTTTGATACATGAAGGTGGTTTTCGAAATGTGTACTAAGTGTGCGAACTGTACTAAATGGTACTAAATTGGGAATAGCATGGTTTAGGGTAAACGAATGAAGCTGGAACTTTGGAATTTTATATTGGCGCCACTGTTGGTGGCAGGTTTGTAAAAAAGAAGTTGTTTTGGAAACATGTACAACAAGTGCACATATAGTACTAAATAGTACTATATTTGGTACTAAATTTGGTTTAGGGTGAAAAGATAGGGTTTGAAATGTGAAATTTGGTATTAGAGTCGCTGTTCATGTAGAGTCTGGACATGTGGAGGAGGTTTAGGAAATGTTTCCTATAATTGTACGAAAAGTACTAAATGGTACTAAATTTGGTATTGGGTGCAGATATAGGGACATAATTGTGAAACCTGATGTTTAAATTACTGATGGTATCGGTGTTTGAGGTTTGGTGGTGGTTTCAGAAATGTGTACTATAATTGTACGAAAAGTACTAAGTGGTACTAAATTTGGTATTGGGTGAAGGAATGGGGCTGGAATCCTGAAATTTAATATTGAGGTCTCTTTTGGTATTTGGAATTGAGATAAGGAAGTGGTTATGGAAATGTTTACTAGAATTGTACGAAATGTACTAAATGGTACTAAATTTGGTATTGGGTGAAGGATAGGGCTGCAATCACGAAATTTAATATTGAGGTCTCCCTTGATGTCTGGGTTTGAGATATGGTGGTGATTTTGGCAATGTGTACTCTAACTGTACGAAAAGTACCAGATAGTACTAAATTTGGTATTGAATAAAGGGATAGAGCTGGGATCCCCAAATTTAAAATTGAGTTCTCTGTTGGTAGGTGGAATTGAGATATGGAGGTGATTTCAGAAATGTGCACTATAATTGTACGAAAAGTACTAAATGGTACTAAATTGGATATTAAGTGAAGGGAAAAAGCTGATATGCTGAAATCTGAAATTCAGGTCTCTGTTGGTATTTGGAATTGAGATATCTTGTACGAATAGTACTAAATTGTACCAAATTCGGTATTGGGTTAAGGGATGGAGCTGGAATACTGAAATTTGATAATGAGGTATCAGTTGGTATCAGAGATTGAGATATAGATGTGGTTTCAGAAATGTGTACTATTTTGTACGAAAAGTACTAAATTGGATATTAAGCGATGGGATACACCTGGAATCCCCAAATTGATATTGAGGTCTATGTTGGTATCTGGAATTGACATATGGAGGTGGTTTTGGATATTAGTACTTTAATTGTAGAAAACGTACCAGATAGTACTAAATTGGGTACTGGATAAAGGGATAGGGCTGAAATCGGAAATTTTATATTGAGGTCTCTGTTGGTATCTAGAATTGGGATATGGAGGTGATTTCCGAAATGTGTACTATGATAGTACGAAAAGTACTAAATGGTTCTAATTCTTGGATGATTAGGATGGAGAGATGTAGACTGTTTGGACATGGGTACTATATGTTACTAAATTTGTTATTGAGTGAAGGGATAGAGCTGAAATTCTTCAAATTGCGTTTTCTTTTGGTTTCTAGGTTTTACTTATGTAGACGTTGAAAGAGTTTTGGAGAGAAAATTTGATCGTGGGTCCATTGTGCAATAATGTTACTAATATTTTCCACGGAAAACTTCAAAATGATAGATTTTGAAGACTATGACGACTATATGCGAACTTTCGAAATCAAAAAAAGTTTTATCAAACTATTTTTTCGGATATTCGAATGCAAACTATCCACCCACTTCCCCTGCTAACTCCTCCTAAAGGGAAAAAAATATTATTCAACTTTCTTCAGAATCTCGTACATAATAATATTTTTAAAGAAATTTAAACATTTTTCTAACATTTCCCCCAAAAAAGGTCAAAATAATTATTTTCTGAACCTTAAAATTGAGACATCTCAGGTATTTTAAATCTAGAAAATAAAATCATTTATTAATTAATTAAATTACTTGGAAATTTAAGGAAGCCCTGTTCGACAAAAGTCTCAATTTTTTTAAATTCTTTCAAACAATTTTCCTTGATTTTCAACTAAGAAGTACACTGGATAATTAATAAAAAAAAAATGATAAATAAAAATTTCAAATAGTCGTCTATTCCTCTAGAATTGTGAATTATTAATTTTTTTTTTGTTATTTCTCTAAATTTTTTTTTATTAAATAATTTATTCCCTAATTTTGTATATTTTTGCTCGACATAAATATTATCAATTTTAAATATTTCTTCAAGTACCAAATTTCACTAAACTTCTTTTTGATCTCTGCTGCAGACTGTCCCTCAATTGTTTGCCTCAAATCTCCGTTTTCAAAAAGCAATTGACAAAAATTATTTTTATACATATTCTTTTTTTCTTTTGTATTTACACTTTAAACAAATCATGAAAAAAATATCAATTACCTGAACACAATGCCAGACAATATTCCTTGGAAAAATATGGGCCGGTAGGCGTGATTGTTTTCCTTTTGCGACGACGACTACAACGACCTCTACAAAAGCCTTACAAAGGCTCAAGTATTCTTGGGTGACCCCCACAAACCAAACAAAAAAATGCCATTGGCAAAGATTGTGTCCAGCCAAGGCATAAATGAAATAAAATAAAAATTCAATTGAATTTACGATTTCATAAAATTCATAAAATTTCTATAACAACAACAACAATGATATCAATATAAAAAAATAAATATGAGGTTTACGTATCTCAAGGAGAGAAAATAAATTTAAAATTGATTTATGAGGTTTGAAACTATCAATTATTGTTGTATTTATTTCTATGCCGTAAAAGTGACAAAAGGCAAAGGATGTTACAAATAAAGCAACAACATAATGGAAGATTGGGTGTTGGTGTAAGAGCGGGTGGGAGGGGTAAAGTTTTCATAGGCCAAAGGGCATTTTTGCAGACACAAAGTATGAAAATGTTTTCCATTCACAATCAATAAAGACGAGGCTGTTGAAAAAGAAAACTACAAAGTGAATACGTTTGCCAAGTTATTCAAATGTTGGAGGGAGAGGGGAAATGAGAGAAGGGAAAGATGGA